AGGCTACAGGATGGGAGGAAAAAAAAATCTGATGTTACTGGAGACTTTTGTGGTGTTTGGAGACTGACGTGAAAGCACGTATCACTCTGCAGTTACTGTGCTCAACGAGCAGCGGGTGCTGCCGTGAGCCCCTCCCCGGTCCAAAGCACTCACAGGCGGTCAGTCTCTGTAACCTCGCGCAGCAGCCTGCAGTCAGAGCAGAGAGGAGACACACACCACTCCGCGTCCAGGCTGCAAATGAATCGCGCATGCGCATGGCCGCCGCCGTTCCCGCCCTGGCTCACAGAGCGGGGTTTAAATGTAAATGTTTCTTTACTCACACACAAAAAATACAACACTGCGCGTAGCTCCATTCACTCTCGTCTAGTCTCTTGCCAAGTTCGGTTGTGCCAGCTCTCGCTACTCTATCTACTCTATCTATTATCAATCTCTATCATTTTCTTATACTCCAAAACCCAACAGTCTTTTTAAAGACTAATCCCACAAACAGTCTTTTTAAAGATTATCCCCATCTCAGTTATTTTTATGTTTTTATGTTTATTTTTTAACTGCTAGGCAGTGCACTTAGCTAACTACCCCTCTGCCTTTTTCACCGTGTTGCAACACACACACACACACACACACACTCACTCACTCACTCACTGACAAAGGACTACAATCATCAAGTCTTAAAATAAAATCTGCATTGCCTGTAAAATCGTTATTTTGTTTGTTATTAATTTTGTTTTGTTTGTATTAAAGATCGTGCCTAAGTCCCAACTGATTAGCCCCCGATACTAGTCTCTCAACATAGTCACACACACACACACACACACACACACACACACACACATCGTTACATTATAGCCTAAACTTTATTGAAATCAAAACTAATCCACATCCAAATTATTTCAAAACCAACACAAATGGAGAGATTTCTAGTGAGGACCAACAAGGCAACCGACGCACCACCAGCTGCAAAAAAGCTTCGAAGGTACGATGAAGCATACCTGCAGTTTGGGTTTACAGTCACAGCTGCTCCTAATGATAGGAGCAGCAGCCAAACTCGGTGCAGTACCACTGTCCAATGACACAGTCGCTAGGAGAATTTCAGACATGTCTAATGATATCAGAGAGCAACTGATTTCATTCATAAAAAAGAGTCCTTACTACACGCTGCAGCTGGAGGAATCCACTGATATTGCTGGGCAGGCACAGCTCCTCACCAATGTCAGGTATCTGCGGGACAAGACGATTGAGGAGGATGTCCTGTTTTGCCGGCCACTTCAGTCGCACACTACAGGAGAAGCCATATTCAATGTCCTTGATGTTTTTATCCGTGAAAATGGTTTGGCTTGGGACCGATGAGTTGGCCTATGCACGGATGGTGCGCGGGCAATGACGGGCCGCGAGCGCGGCCTAGCTGCTCGCGTTCAGCAAGTAGCTCCACTTGTGAAATGGACACATTGCATGGTCCATCGCGAAGCACTAGCTGCTAAAAAAATGCCGGTTCTCTTTGACTCCGTGCTGAACCAATCCGTGAAAATGATAAATCTCATCAAATCACGGCCGCTAAACTCTTGTTTGTTTGGGGTCTTCTGCCAGGAGATGGGGTCAGGGCACGAACAGCTGCTTCTGCACACTGAAGTTCGCTGGCTCTCCAGGGGGCGGTTGTTACAGCGGTTGTATGAGCTGCGAGAGGAGTTGAGGTGGTTTTTGACAGAAATCAAATCAGATCTGGCGAAGCATCTGGATGACACTATGTGGCTTGCGTCTCTGTCCTATTTGGTCGATATATTTGACCGCTTGAATGGCCTCAACCTGTCTTTGCAAGGCCGCAAAACTCATATTTTGCTCCTTGCAGACAGAGTGGACGCCTTCACACAAAAACTTGACCTCTGGCATGGCCGCATCACTCGAGGGAACTGCGACATGTTCCCCAGCCTTGCAGACTTTATCACGGATGCAGGCACGTCACACGATTTCTCCTCTCTATTTCAATCAGCGTCTGAGCACCTGTCAGAAATGAGAACACAATTTGCGACCTACTTTAAGGAGGATTATCGTTCTTTTGCGTTGGTTTCGTGATCCATTTGTGTGCACAGCAAACGAGCTGTCAATCGATATGCAGGAACAGCTCATTGAACTGAAGAGTGACAGTAGGCTGAAGGAAGTCTTTACCTCCTGCCCTCTTCCGTCATTCTGGGCAGCACTGATGCAGGAATACCCTCAACTCTGTGACGTCGCCTTGAAGATTCTCCTCCCTTTCGCGTCGACATATTTGTGTGAGGCAGGATTCTCAAAAATGACTGCACTCAAAACAAAGTACCGCAATCGTGCACAAATCGAGGATGATTTGAGGCTATGTTTATCAGACATTGCTCCAAGAATTGAGGATCTTTGCAAGGCAAAGCAGGCTCAGGTCTCACATTAACATCACCTACCTGCAAGCTTCTGTCAAAAATGCAGATGATATGCCTACTATAAGGCCTAGTAATAACACTACTAAACACACACTAATAAAAAATAAATTCATATCAGAGGTCTGGTGCCAATTCCCAATTATAGCAATAGCCTAGTAATGATAATAGGCCTACTGATAATAATAATAATAATAATAATAATAATAACAACAATAAAGCATGTAACCTCATATAATTATATAGCAATAGCCTAGTCATGATAATAGGCCTACTACTACTCATAATAATAATAATAATAATAATAATAATAATGCCTGCAAGCTCACATTAGAAGTCTGGTGCTACTGCCAATTATAACAATAGCCTAGTAATGATAATAGGCCTATACCTACTGCTACTGATGATGATAATAATAATGTGGCCCTAAAAATAATAGCCTAGCCTAGGGCTATCTATCTATCTATCTATCTATCTATCTATCTATCTATGCAAGGTGGTGTAGTGGGGGTGGCGCCGGGAAGGGGGGGGCCCGACTGCAATGAACCAGCTTTGGGGGGGCCCAGCTTGCAAAAGGTTGAGAACCCCTGCTCTATGGCACACCATCCAAAACTCTAAATAAGCTACAGTACATTCAAAACTCCGCTGCACGTATGCTCACCCACACCCGCACCCGTGATCACATCACTTCCGTCCTCCAGAACCTCCACTGGCTCCCAGTTCCACAGCGCATTCAGTTCAAAATCCTCCTCCTTACACACAAAGCCCTCCATAACCAGGCTCCTTCCTACCTCAGACCTGCTCCATCACCACAATCCCTCCTGCAGCCTCCGCTCATCTGACGCAAACCTTCTGACTCCACCACCCCGGTCCAAGCACCGAACCTGGGGCGACAGAGCGTTCTCTGTAGCTGCCCCCTCCCTCTGGAACTCTCCCCAAACCCATCCGTGACTGCACCGACCCTCCAACATTCAAATCACTGACAAAAACACACCTTTTTAAAATGGCTTTTAAAATCTTGCTCAGTCTAATGTGTTTTTAACGTTTGTAATGTACTGTTTTATATTGTTTTACTGATTGATGTTCTTGTATTCTTCTTATATTATATTGTACAGTGTCTTTGAGTATTCAGGAAAGCGCTTTTTAAATAAAATGTATTATTATTATTATAACCCCACCCCCACCCACAGAGCACTCAGATTGCAGCCAGCCACCACTGCCTCCACCTCCACCTCTACTACTGCTCCATCCCCCCCACCGACGCTCTCACCTCCTCTCACACCTCCATCCCCCTTCACACCCCCAAACACCCTGCCCCCGAGCCCCAATCTGTCCCTCTCTGCTGACCAGGTGAGGAAAGAGCTTACGAAGGTAAAGGCGAAAAAGGCTGCGGGTCCAGACGTCATTGGTTCCAGGCTCCTCAAGTCCTGCGCAGACCAACTCTGTGGGATTGTGGAGCACGTCTTCAACCTTAGCCTGAAGCTGGGGAGAGTTCCACAACTGTGGAAAACATCCTGCGTGGTGCCGGTGCCAAAAACGCCGCACCCAAAGGACCTCAACAGCTACAGGCCGGTGGTGCTGACATTGCACCTGATGAAGACACTGGAACGGCTGGTCCTCGCCCATCTCCGCCCTCTGGTGGGACCATCCATGGACCCGCTGCAGTTCGCCTATCAGCCTGGCATCGTGGTGGATGACGCTGTCATCTTCCTCCTTCACAGAGCTCTTTCTCACCTGAAAAAGCCTGGAAGCACTGTGAGGATCACATTCTTCGACCTCTCCAGTGCTTTCAACACCATCCAGCCTCTGCTTCTGAGGGACAAACTGGAGCTCTCTGGTGTGGATTATCACCTCACATCCTGGATTATGGATTACCTCACCAACCGCCCACAGTATGAGAGGCTCAAGGACATAGTGGTCTGCAGCACACTGACATATTTAACACATCACTGTCACAGGAGAGTGTTTCCTGCTTCAAGACAGCCACCATCGTCCCTCTGCCTAAAAAGTAAGCAGTATCTAGTCTAACCAGCCTTAAGAGAAAAGAGAGGTAAGAAGACAAACAATGGGATGACCTAGAGATTTGTTCATCTGGTCAAGGCATCAACAGCAATATCAGGTTGCAATCACAGGAAGAGCTTGGAGGAGAGATGACTGTAAACATAATAGGTTATGTTTCACAGTAAAAGTTCAGCTTAAGTCAGCGCCCGGTTAACTCAGTGGGTAGAGCTGAGCTCCATATACGGAGTTGCTGCAGCGTCACGGGTTCGAATGCGACCTGCGGCCCTTTGCTGTGTGTCATCCCCTGTCTCTCTACCCCCCTTTCCTGTCGATCTTCAGCTGTCTCTATCAACCCCCCCAAAAAAAATAAAATAACTTAAAAAAATAAAGTTCAGTTCAAGTCACACAGAATGCAAAAATTCATTTGTAAAGTCCCTGTGGTACCTACAGTTGTAGAATGGGAAACATACAAGAAAATGTCAAACAATGCTGTGAACTCATGAAGTTCTTTACATATTAGAATATATGTGGTGGAAAGTGTAATGAGATCCTTGGAGGGTGAAGCAATCTAATAAAAACTTTCCACAGAGTCTTACAGTAAATTTTTTTTAGACATGAGGTGCATTTCAAAGTCAGGTACCTTTGAATGAATAAGACGCTCCAGTATAGAGTGAATGTAAGTATTATTATGAAAGTGATAGTTATTTTTAAATTTCCATTGATGTATGCTGGTTATGCAATCTACTTGTTTTATTACTGATTATTTATTTTAGACAACATTAATGGATGATAAACTTAATGTAACATATATAACTCTTGATGGGCATGTAGAAGTGGGCAAATACAGATATCTTTATTTTTTGGTTATGCTTACAGTATATATTCTAATAATCTGCTGTAGTTTCACCATTGTGGGCCTTATCTGGAGGCACAACAACCTCCATGAGCCTATGTACATTTTCATTGCAGCTTTGCTTCTGAATTCTGTTGTTTTCAGCACTGCTATGTACCCAAAGTTGTTAATTGACTTTTTATCCAAAAAACAGATGATATCATATTCAGCCTGTCTCTTCCAGTTTTTCCTATTTTACTCCTTAAGTGGTTCAGAGTTTTTACTGTTGGCAGCCATGGCCTATGACAGGTATGTGTCTATATGTAAACCTCTGCAATATCCAACTATCATGAAAAACACTACAGTGAGTATTTTCCTGGCTTTAGCTTGGCTTGTGCCTGCTTGTCAGATTGCAGTCCCAGTAATACTGAGCACTGACATTAAACTCTGCAAGTTCACTTTAAAAGGAATTTTTTGTAACAATTCAATTTACAGTCTCCACTGTGTGACTTCAAAAGCAATATCTATATTTGGTGTTATTGCTTTGCTAAACATTGGGCTTTTCCCTTTGCTCTTCATACTTTTCACATACACCAGGATATTTGTAATATGTTATCGAAGTTGTAGAAATGTCAGAAAAAAAGCTGCACAGACCTGTTTACCCCACCTGTTGGTTTTAATCAGCTTTTCCTGTTTGTGTGCATATGATGTTATTATAGCTCGACTGGGATCTGATTTTCCAAAAACTGTACGTTTAATAATGACTTTACAAGCTGTTTTGTATCATCCTCTCTTCAATCCAATTATATATGGACTAAAAATGAAAGAAATTTCTAAACATCTGAAGAGGTTGTTCTGTCAAAGCAATGCAGTCTCGTGTATTATAAGTGATGTTACAGTAATAGTGACATCAGTGATGCTAATATATCGTTATCTATTTTGTAGTAAATCAGAGATGTGAATGTTCTGATCGTTGGGAGGTATTTAATGTAAGAATTTGTTTCCATGCTGTACAAATCCTCTTTACTATTTATAACAGAAACAGTGTCTTCAGTTCAAACAATGTAATGACAACTCAATATTTATTTTATAAATATCTACTACTGAAACAGGGGGTACAGAAATACTTTTTTTTGTTTGATAAGTGATACACAAACCTTTAATTCTTGTTCGGCTTCTGCTAAATATGTTAAGCACCAATTTTGGTTAAAACTACATAAAATATGTGCAGAAAGAAGCAAAAAATCTCAACTTGCATAATGTTTTTAAGTAAAACATTGTACAAAAATGTGTCTTCTACCCCTTAAGGTTCATCAATTAGCAAAAAATTAGCTAACACATAAAATGCTTTATAACTGACCATATAGTGGCCCTATTGTTCTGAAAAAAATCACACATCATTCTGCTGTTGTACAGTACTAATTACAAGACATTCATAGTTACCACAGACTCATTGTTTGACTGAAACATAGCTATCCAAAGAATGTCTGTAGATTTTTGTAGCATTTGAATGAAGACCTGTGGAGATATGGACTTTGCATATTGAAAAATATTGAGTGATAGACTTCGAATAGAACATAGGTTGCAGTGAGGCAAACTTTTGTCACAATTCATTGGATGTGCTTAAAGAATTTCAGCTCTGTAGGACGTATAGGTGTTTAAATTAGATTGGCACTATTGAATACATGCTTTAATGTGTTTAGCGCATCTCCATGAGGCGTCTGTGTACCATGTTTGATGACTTTAGCATATATAGTATGTGAGATTTTTATGTGTATATGTGACACCCATTAATGGGCCATTCACAAAAATGTACAGTAAAATATTCATATCTCATTAAATGTAACATATATCAACGTAGTTGACGGAATGACACATAATAGACTTTTCTATGTGAAAATTGGAATTATTTGTCAATCTACAAAAATAAGTGAGTAATAAGTTCACAAAATGTACGGAATAAGAAATAGAACTAGAATATATATTTCCTGGTGAAAATGCAGAGTGAATGCTTCAGCTAAAATGATCTGATCTGGTCTCTGATCTGACAGACAGAATACATGAACCAGAACAAGAACACCCATCATTGCTTCTATCAGCTCCTACCCAATCCCACATCCATTAATCCCTCCCACCCACATTACCACATTGCTTGCTCCAACCAAGGAATTACATTAAGTAAATAATGATTAATAAATAATAAATCAAAATGTTAAAGAAAAGAATAGAAAAAAGTGTATAAACTAAAATAAAAAGAGTAAATAAGTTGACAAAGGAAAGGTGTACTTTTCCTCTGGGTGGACAGTAGTCTTATCCAGATACTCAATAAAGGGCTTTCAGGAGTCAAAGGATTTGCTTGAGTCTTTAAGTGAAATTCTAATCTTTTTAACATTAGTAAAGTGAAGAGACAGGCGAGAGTGAACTTGATCCAATATAGACTTTAAAATGCTGCAGCGCGAGCAGCAGAGAGAGCTTCCTTTTCAATGGTCCTGTACTTTGTTTGGTGCTTACTGAATTTTTTTTGAGAAGTAGCAAATCGGGTGATTGTTACCTTACCCATCCTCTTGCAACAACACCGGACCAGCTCCACTGTCGCTGGCATCCACCTCCAATTTGAAAGGATGCACAAAGTCAGGAGCTGCAAGGACAGGTGTGCTGCAGAGAAGAGCTTTGGCTGACTCAAAGGCATTTTGACATTCTAGTGACCTGACAAACGGTTTAGTGACGGTAGTCAAACTAGTGAAAGGAGCAACAACATCTTATGTCTGCAGAATCCACTACAATAGCCAGCCATTCCTAAGAAACGGCGAAACTCAGATTTGGTCTGGGGCATGGGGAAATCTAGGATGGCCTGGATTTTTGCAGTGAGCGGGTGGACCTGAGCGTGGCCCACCTGTTTTCCTAAATAGGTCACAGTGGTTCAAAGTGAGGGAGGTTTTCTTTAACCTCATGAAAACGATGTTCAGGGTTTTGATGTGTGCGGACCAAGTGCTCAAGTAGACCACAATGTTGTCAAGATAAACTTTACAGTTTGGAGACTTTGGAATGTGATAGATAGGTTTCGGAGAACAAATAGCACAACTGTATACTGAAGGAAGTTGTAGGTGGTAATGAAAGCAGAGATTTCAGATGCACGCAGAGTTGAAGGGACTTGCCAATGGCCCTCTAATAAGACACCCTGTTCACATAATCCTCCATTCGGGATAGCGGATATGAATCGGCTTTTGTGACACCATTTACTTTCCTAAAGAATGTGCAAAAACGTGGTATCTTATCAGCTTTGGGCACGAGAAAACACAGGGAATTCAACGCACTGGAACTCAGGACAGCTAAGCCATTTTCCAGCAGGTAGGTGACCTCCTGCTGAAAAAGTGCACGTTTGTCGGATTAACGCAGTAAGCGTGCTGCTTAACTGGGGAATGGTCACCCACATCAATATCATGTGATAGGATAGTGGTTCGGGACAGAGTGTCTGAGAACAGAGGGAAATTATTTTCAATCAATTGACGGACATCTTCCTGAGCCGAATCATCCTGGTGGTTCAAGTGTAACTTAAAATCTTTCAGTAACGCAGAGTTTTGGAGGCGAGAACAGCTCTGCAGGGCTATAACCTATGGACTCCTGCACACTTTCTGGTGCAGTTAGGAGACGGAGTAATAAACCCTCATCCCACTCTTTTCCTTACTCAAGACAAAATTTCCTCATCATGGATTTTAACGTTTGATGGAAACGTTTAAATGAACCTTGTGACTGAGGATTGAATGCACTTGATTTTTTTATGTTTAATGGCCAGCAATGACTTGAGCAAAGAGTTTTGACATGAAGTTGGAACCTTGGTCGGTCTGAATGGATTTTGGCAAGCTGAAGGTGGAGAAAAAGTTTACAAAGGCTTTTACGATGGCTTTAGCCTTGAACATGTGTAGTGGGATTGCTTTGAGGTAGCATGTGGCACATTAAGGTCAAAATGTACTGATGTCCTGATTTTGTTTTGGGAAGCGGGCTGACACAATCCAGGATTATGTGTAATCAGTCATGTGTTATTGAATGTAGGATCTGAAACAGCACAACTTAGCAAATATTTTTTTCTTAAGGTCACAGGTGAGGAATTAAACCACTCACCATGTAGTTATTGGCCATGTGCATTAAGCGCTCTGACAGTGAACAGGTAAGCATGTAATTTTTGTAGTCACATACCAATTATGAACTGCTGCAGGTGTAATCAATCATTGAATCAAAGTTAGCTGAGGGTTTGAAATAAGACTGCTCCACTAGTAGCAGTGGTACACCTCTTCACTGAACACACTGATAGTCACTGACAGTGACAGTAGGAGTATCATTAGTAGAAGTAGTAGTAGAAGTAGCAGTACTAACAGTAGTGACCTCTGCCTTGTATCTACAGCACTGACATCTGCATTGTATCTACAGTGCTGACTTATGCCCTGTATCTACAGTGCTGACCATTTAGCAGTAAAAATGGAACAGTATGCCAACATTGTTCAACTGGCCATTGTGATCACTGTTAAATGGTAAAACGACTTGTATTCATATAGTGCTTTTCTGGTCTACTGGCCACTCAAGCCTTTACAAGGCTCACTCAGACTATTCTACTAACTAGTCTACTCTTGAAATAAGACTGCAATGCAGGGAATGTATGAGGTCATCAGCAGTAACATAAGAAACAAACTTGGATGAATGGCAAGGTGAGGGCTTTATGAAGCCACGTGACAAGGAAGCATACAACATCGCTGTAGGAAGCTGTGGCTCAGGAGGTAGAGCGTGCCTTTGCCATCACATGCGTGTAAATGGGTGAATGTGGTATATTACGTAAAGTGCTTTCAGTGGTCGGAAGACTAGCAAGACTCCATAGAAATCACAAAAAGTAATGGCAAGAGAATGAACAATCAGGCAACCAGGTGGTTTGAAGATCTTGTCAAAGCATCATCTGGGATATCAGTTTAATTAAATTCAATTAAATTTTATTTGTATAGCGCCAATTCATAACAGAAGTTATCTCAGGACACTTTTCAAATAGAGCAGGTCTAGACCGAACTCTTTAACATTAATTACAGAGACCCAACAGTACCACCATGAGCAAGCACTTGGCGACAAGGGCAAGGAAAAACTGCCTGTTAAAAGGCAGAAACCTAGGACAGATCCTCCGGCTCTAGGTGGGTGGTCGTCTGTCTCGACCAGTTGGGGTGAGAGAGAGAGAGAGAGAGAGAGAGAGAGAGAGGCAGAGAGAGAGAGCGAGAGACAGACAGACAGACAGACAGGTGCACAGCAACAACAGTATTGGCAATGGCAGTCAAGCAGGACCATGGCAGGAGGCTCCACCAGGATCGATAAGAACCTGCGAGACGAGAAAGCACAAGTACTCCGGGGAAGAAGTGAAGTTAGTAACATGCATTAATGGGACATGAATGAGTGCAGAAAGAGAGAGGAAGAGAGTAGCTCAGTGCACCATGGGAAATCCCCCGATAGTCTAGGCCTATAGCAGCATAACTAAGGGATGGTTCAGGACTCACCTGATCCAGCCCTAACTATAAGCTTCATCAAAGAGGAATGTCTTAAGCCTACTCTTGAATGTGGAGAGGGTGTCTGCCTCCCGAACCACAACTGGAAGCTGGTTCCACAGGAGAGGAGCTTGGTAACTGAAGGCTCTGGCTCCTGTTCTACTTTTAGAGACTATAGGAACCACAAGTAGCCCAGCATTCAGAGAACATAGTGTTCTAGTGGGGTAATAGGGTACTATGAGCTCTTTAAGATATGAAGGGGCCTGACCATGAAGAGCTTTATAGGTGAGGAGGAGGATTTTAAATTCAATTCTACATTTTACAGGGAGCCAATGCAGAGAAGCTAGTACAGGAGAGATGTGATCTCTTTTTCTAGTTCCTGTCAGTACTCGTGCTGCAGCGTTCTGAATTAATTGGAGCGTTTTAATGGACTTATTGGGGCAACCTGATAATAAAGAGTTGCAGTAATCCAGCCTTGAAGTAACAAATGCATGGATTAGTTTACAGTTACAGGAAGTGATTGGAGGAGAGGTGCAACTGTAAACTTAATGGGTTACATTTCACAGTGCAGTTCAAGTCACACAATATTAACAAATTCATCTGAAAAGTCCCTATAGTACATACAGTTGTACAATGGCACACTGACACACTGTGAGTTCAGGAAGTTCTTTACATAGTAAAATCTATTTTGATGGAAAGTTTAATGAGATCCTTGGAGGGTGAAGCAGTCTAATAAAAACTTTCCACACTCTCACAGTTCATTTGTTTTTGTAGATAAACACACATCGAGTGCATTTCAATATTCGATACCTTTGAATGAATAAGATGGCCCAGTACAGAGTAATTGTTAGTATTATCATGAAAGTGACAATTCTTTTTAATTTTCTATTCAGGTATGCTAGTTATGTAATCTACTTGTTTTACAACTGAACATTAATTTTAGACACATTAATGGATGATAAACTTAATGTAACATATATAACTCTTGATGGGCATGTGGAAGTGGGCAAATACAGATATCTTTATTTTTTGGTTATGCTTACAGTATATATTCTAATAATCTGCTGTAGTTTCACCATTGTGGGCCTTATCTGGAGGCACAACAACCTCCATGAGCCTATGTACATTTTCATTGCAGCTTTGCTCCTGAATTCTGTTGTTTTCAGCACTGCTATGTACCCAAAGTTGTTAATTGACTTTTTATCTGAAAAACAGATGATATCATATTCAGCCTGTCTCTTTCAATTTTTCTTATATTACTCCTTAAGTGGTTCAGAGTTCTTACTGTTGGCAGCCATGTCCTATGACAGGTATGTGTCTATATGTAAACCTCTGCAATATCCAACTATCATGACAAAAACTACAGTGAGTATTTTCCTGGCTTTAGCTTGGCTTGTGCCTGCTTGTCAGACTGCAGTTCCAGTAGTACTGAGTGCTCATATGAAACTCTGTAATTTAAGTCTAAAAGGAATTTTTTGTAACAATTCAATTTACAGTCTCCACTGTGTGACTTCAAAAGCAATATCTATATTTGGTGTTATTGCTTTGCTAAACATTGGGCTTTTCCCTTTGCTCTTCATACTTTTTACATACACCAGGATATTTGTAATATGTTATCGAAGTTGTAGAAATGTCAGAAAAAAAGCTGCACAGACCTGTTTACCCCACCTGTTGGTTTTAATCAGCTTTTCCTGTTTGTGTGCATATGATATCATTATAGTTCGACTGGGATCCGATTTTCCAAAAATAGTACGTTTAATAATGACTTTACAAGCTGTTTTGTATCATCCTCTCTTCAATCCAATTATATATGGACTAAAAATGAAAGAAATCTCTAAACATCTGAAGAGGTTGTTCTGTCAAACCAATGCAATCTTGTGTATTAAAAGTGATATTAGAGTAATAGTGACGTTAGTGATGCTAATATACCGTCATTTATTTTGTAATAAATCAGAGATGTGAATGTTCTGATTCGTATTTAATGTAAGAATTTGTGTCCATGCTGTTCAAATCCTCTTTACTATTTGTAACGGAAACAGTGAAGAGTATCTTCACTTCAAACAATGTAATGACAACTCAATATGCTGCAGTTTATTTATGTATGTATTTTATGCATATGAGCTTGTCATTGCGAACATCCTCTCCCAAGAATTCCAAGAATGCTGTACAAATCCTCTTCACTATTTGTCATGTAAAATAGGATCTCCCATTGTTGAACGATATATATTTTAATGTCAACTGCAGCTTCATTCGTCAGTCATTGGCAATCTGTCTGAATGGCCTCTCACTAGGTTTCTCCCATTTTTCCTATATGTTAAAGTTTTGTTGTTTTTTTTGTTTGTTTTTTTGCAATATCATGTTAGAAAGGCTGTGCTAGATTTGAGACAGTTGTCAATGAGGGCATTTAAACCCATTGATACCATTTATGTAATACTGGGCTAGACAATTGTGATACGGAGCTTTAATGTCCACTAGGGGTGTAACCTTACCTGTATTCATCTCAAATCGTTAGTACAGGATGTTCAGTTTTTGTATGCAACTTTCTCAGTATGGTATGCCATGTGACTTAAACAGTTGCTGTCAGAATAGCCTATTAATGGATACTACTCGCCTGCAGAAAACAAACATTTTAGAGTTTTACCTGGAAAGTTTTGGCAGTGCACCAGTTATTGTCTATCAGCTGTAGTGTGCTTGTCGGATTTGCCTGGTTAGACTCAAGCTAATGTAGTGTTGCTGCTATCCGAATGGCAAACACAAATGAAAGACTGGATCTGGAAGATCCTCACTAGCCATTTTGCTCCACTATATGGGAGCATAAGCTAGTGAAAATGGACAAAGATTGGTGTCAAACTGTAGTTGAACATTGTTCAAATGAAGTCGAGCATGTCTGTGGAAACACTTAAAACATGTTAAGTTATTTACGACAGCATCACTTGAATATGTCGATTGGTTGAATGAGACAAATAACAGACTGGAAGGCAGGGCCTTCTCCCCAGTGTTCAGGCAGCCTCTCGCTGAAGATTAGGACTGTGCCAAAGCAATAACTAACGCTATTAAAATATTGATCACTACAGATATATGACCATAATAAGTTGCAGAGTATACAGGCTTTAAGTATACAGTCAAAGTGCTTGAGCTTTGCTTCAGTGTACCTTCCATGTGCATGTTAATCAGTGAATTGTGGCCACCATGTATAGATGAGCACAAGCTGCAGTTCAACACCTTCACAGTCTGCATGACTGTGTGAGGGTGTTAAAGAGCAGGCCCATGCTGTCATGACCAACTTGCCAATGATCAACAGAAAGCCAGTTGTGATAAAATCAGTGACCGCAGACAGGTATGTGTCCATTTGTAAACCTCTTTAATATTGAACTAACATGGGAAAAACCACAGTATTTTCCTGGTTTTACCTTGGCTTGTGCCTGCTTGTCAAACTGCATTGCCATCAACATTGAGTTCTGATATCAAAATCCGTAATTTCACTTTAAAAGGATTTTTTTGTAACATTTAAATTTACAGTCTAAACTGTGTGACTTCAAAAGCAATATCTATATTTGGTGTTTTTGCTCTACTAAAAATTGAGTTCTGTTGACATGGAACAAATATTTTGGGGATCTGAATCAAACCATCGACATTGCGATTAAATGGGAACAAACATGATTATTGCCACAAACTTACAGCCCACTGACATGAAATTGTACTGGTCTAATTAAAAACTATGGTGGGTCCTTGCTCCAATTCCCAAAAAAGCAGGGCAGGGCAATTATTTTTCCATTTTCTGCAGAGGAAACAGCTCTCTGCCTGACTATGTGAAGGTGTTGATGAGCAGGCCCATGCCATCATAACCATCTTGCCAGTGAGCAACAGAAAGCCTCTTGAGATAAAAACAGTGACTGCAGAGGACCCGCCATCACCCTGCTAAACCGGAAAGTCCAATTGGTTCAATTCTCAAATTTCGACTTCCATCAGACACCAAAGTTGGAAAGATGGCCTATTGGGGCACAGTGCTCAAGTAAAACACTTCGAACAACTCTGTGACTTCAGGCCTCCAGAGTTTCTTTATGTACTAGTTTAATGAGATCCTTGGAGGGTGAAGCAATGTAATAAAACAGATTAAAACAGTTAATTTTGCTGACTTTTTAGAGATGACCACATTAAGTCTATTTGAAGGTTGTGTAGCTTTTGAATGAGTAAGATGCTCTAGTATAGCTTAGATATTGGTGTAACTATTATACTGAGACTTCATATTTGAATTATTGTTCATGTACTCATGTGGTTATATAATCTGTCTTATTATTGAACATTTAGTTTTAGATAACATAAATGGATGATAAGTTAAATGTAACATATATAACTCTGAGTGGGCATGTGGAAATGCACAAATACAGATATCTTTATTTTTTGATTATGTTCACAGTATACATTCTAATAATCTGCAGTAATTCTACAGTTGTGTATCTTATCTGTATCCACAAAAACCTTCATGAGCCTATGTACATTTTCATTGCAGCTTTGCTACTTAACTCTGCTGTTCTCAGCACTGCTATGTACCCAAAGTTGTTAATTGACTTTTTATCTGAAAAACAGATCATATCATATCCAGTCTGTCTCTTTCAATTTTTCATGTTTTACTCCATTGGTAGTTCAGAGTTCTTACTGTTGGCAGCCATGTCCTATGACAGGTATGTGTCTATATGTAAACCTCTGCAATATCCAACTATCATGACAAAAACCACAGTGAGTATTTTCCTGGTTTTAGCTTGGCTTGTACCTGCTTGTCATATTGCAATCCCAGCAATACTGAGTGCTGAAACTAAACTGTGTAACTTTACTTTAAAAGCAATATTTTGTAACAATGCAATTTACAGACTCCAGTGTGTACAATCAAGAGTAATTACTATACAGGGTGTGGTTGCTTTATTAGATCTTGCAATTCTCCCCATGCTCTTCATCATTTTTACATACACAAGGATACTTATGATATCCTATCGAAGTTGTAGAGAAGTCAGGAAAAAAGCAGCAGAGACCTGTTTACCCCATTTGTTAGTTTTAATCAGTTTCTCCTGTTTGAGTGCATATGATATCGCTATAGCTCGGGTGGAATCAAATCTTCCAAAAACGACACGATTAATAATGATGTTACAAATAGTTTTGTATCATCCTTTGTTTAACCCACTTATATATGGCCTCAAAATGAAAGAAATTTCTAAACACCTTAAAAGGTTGTTCAAGGTACAGTCATTTCTTCTGAAATAATCATGCAGACAGGTGAATTCTTGGAGTATTTAATGCACGCACCTTTTTCCATTACAGACTCTCCACAGGTCCAGTGTATAACATTTAGGAGGAACTATTGTCAGAAATAGAATATAATATGAATATATAATATTTATAGGTATGTTTTCATTAGTGTATAATTAACTGAAAATACAAATTTTCCTTGCCTTAGACAGAGCTGTTTTTATCTACACAGGGAAGGCCATGTTGAACCGCAATGTGACTACAGTAGCTCGTAAAGGATAAACCAAACACTGGCTCTGGACAGGGCCTTTCACCTTTTTTGCGAGCCACTGTAGGTTCTCCGACAGAAGTGGTACTGAGTTAGTTGTAATCTGTTGTAACTTCATTGCTAGATAACCCTACATCCTACACACTGGTCCCTCAACAGTAAAGAGACTCTTGTTGCTCTGTTTGTAATGGAAACAGCAAAAAGTGTGCTGAGCTTGAACAATATAAAGGCTAATTAATTTGGTGTAATTATTCATAATTTTATTTGCTGCCATGAATTTAGTTATCAAAATTAGACACTGGTTACAAGTATTGACATTGATCATTGGCTCTGAATGTCTTGCTAAAATTAAATGTTGGATTTCAGCTATATAAACTATTAAAGCCCATGCCTAACGTGTAAAGACAACACTGACAGTGTGTACAGTACAGTACTGTATTCTAATAATGCTTATTATTCATTTAATTTTTTTTAACAATGATATTTGCTGCTCTCTGTTTTTGGTCATCCACGGCTGCACAAGCTGACTCAGGAGAAAATCATTATTTGTCACGTCAAGCTGTGACTTTAGATTTGGTGTGCTTGAACAAACAGGGAAAGAAATGTGTGTGTGTGTGTGTGTGTGTGTGTGTGTGTGTGTGTGTGTGTGTGTGTGTTTGTGTGCGGTGGTTGGTGCGCTGGCATCTGCCTTGATTTTCAAGTTAGAAGTGGCCTTTTGATAAAGCTGAAATGGCATGTATGTTTGCAACAAAACATTCTTTACATTTATGAGAAAAATAAAATCTAAATAAACCTTAAACGCTGAAAAAGTATTATTTTCCTGAAGAAAACAATGTATAGACTCAAAATAGAAGTGTGCTGTAGTGTCTGTGATGTTGGAACCCTGTAAAAACATAGTGACCAGGTTTCATTGCTGTCAACATCTTTCTATTTTGCTCTCTGTCTGTATCATGGATGAAGAAAGAACTGCAAGTCTGTGTGTCTGTTCAATCCATTCTTCCTCTGTTTGTAAAACACTGGAGGCTAAAACACACTGCAGCTGAATGGCACTTTTAAAAACTGCTGTCCCTATTATTTTCTATGTATAACCCCCACACCGGCAGCTACTAGACATGTGTGGGCACCTGTGGTTTTTTTAATAATTTTTTTTTCCCATTGCAAGACAAAATACACAGGGAAATACAGGGAAAACAAAGCAATAAATGGACAGCGCAAATAATAAGAAAAAATAAGTGCAAGTGCGAATTTGTTTTCGGTGTTGTGTTTAAGTGGTGTGTGTGTGTGTGCATGCACGCATAAGGTGGATAACATCCCCACAGCAGTTATTGATAAAACCATCACCACCACTGATAACAATAAGAATCAATAATAATATAAGGGAGGGTCTGCCACAGCCACTAGCAGCAAAGCAGGGTTTGGCTGAACTGGGTCAGGTATGCTATGTTAACAATATTAGAATTACCTTTTTGAGATTATCACTAACATCTAGGTACATATACAGGTATATCAGGCAGAAAGTGAACATTAGGTTTCGAAGATGGCGGCGCATACACATGCAGCGGCTCCTCTCTCTCCCGTCAGATCGGTGTTTTTATGTTTTTTGTGTTGTGCACCTACGTGCATCTGTTCGTCATCGGCGCGTCCATTAAACCTAAGGCGCACATACTCCTGTGAGTTTCTGCTCGCCATTGGCAGAACCAAATTCACGGACATAAACCCAGTGGACGCGGAAGGGCTACGTGACTCCGGTCTGCTCCAGAGGCCTGCTCTACCACCGACCTGCTCTACCAGCCTCCCCAGCCCACAGTGGAGGTACCACAGGCGGTGTATGAGGAAGCAGAAGAGGGGAAAGCACGGAGGTATCCAGGCTAGGCTAGCAGCTAGCCCTCACCGGCCGGCTATCCCTACCATCACACTGGCCAATGTACGAACTCCATCAGCACATCAGTGACCAGCAGACAGCCCACCCAGATGGCTTCCTCATTCTGGCTGGGGATTTCAACCACGCAAACCCCACGGACACATCAACTTTCCCACACGAGGAAACAATATCCTGGACAATGTCTACACCACACACAGAGGTGCCTACAAAGCCCGTCCCCCCCCCCCCACCTCGGGGCCTCAGACCACACCACTGTTATGCTAATGTCAGCATAAAGGCCACTGGTTAAAGTCACCAAACCAGCTACAAAGCAGATACGCGTGTGGCCTTAAGGGTCTTCAGAGGCACTCCAGGACTGCTTCTCCACCACCGACTGGAGCATGTTCAGACAGGCAGCCACCTACAACAACACCACAGACCTCCAGGAGTACACAGAGACCGTCACTTCCTACATGAGGAAGTGCATGGACGATGTCACGGTCACCAGAACCATCTCCATTCGGGCCAACCAGAAGCCATGGCTGACAGGGGAAGTCCACAGGCTCCTGAAGGCTCGAAACACTGCCTTCAAAGCTGGCGACGAGGTGGGCCTGAGGACAGCCAGGGCCAACCTGTCACGAGGCATCAGAAAGGCCAAGAGGCAGTACTCCAGGAGGATCGCTGACCGCTTCAATGACAGCAGAGACACCAGGAACCTGTGGCGAGGGATGGCACCATTGAGAGTATATAGACAAGCTGCATCACCGTGTGGTACGGCGCCTGCACCGTGTCCTGCCGCAAGACTTTGCAGCGCATCGTGAGAGCAGCTGAGAGGATCATTGGTGTCCCCCCCCCCTCCCCCCCCCCTGGACGTTTATAACACCTGCATCACCAGCAAAGCCATCAGGATTGCAGGTGACCCCACCCACCCATCTCACAGCCTCTTCAGCCTGCTCGATGATGACGGTGTAGAAGTGCAACATCATCGTCTTTGGCAGGTTGAACAGAGGAGGAAAATTGCTTAACTCTGCTTGAATCTGTTTAAGTCTTTTGTAAGGGTAGCCATCAAACTGGAAATCTCCAGGGTCTCCCTTCGGATTGGCACGTCCTAAAAGCAGAGAATTCGGGCTGATGTACTCTACACAGTCTTCTCTGCTTTGAGTTCTTGCACCGATGAGTCTCTCATTTGCAAGGTTGGCTGCCATGAAGAGAAAAGTTTGGAATTCTCCCCATGTGAAAACACCATCTCCACCAAGGTTGCTCAACGCCTGCTTCACTACTTTGACAGCTGCCTCTGCTGCACCATTCCTATGGGGAGAGTCTGCAGGGTGGATCTTCCACGACCATTCTGTACCACGCTTGGCAGCTGTGTCTTCAAGTTCAGACTTGTTTAGTCGGTCAAGGAATTTGTGAAGCTTTTCTAGAGCAGGTCTGGCTCCCACAAAGTTAGTGCCAGGGTCTGACCAGAGTTTCCTGGGGTGTCCTCTCAGTGAAGTGAACCTTTGATAGGCTAGCAGGAATCCTTCAGATGACAGGTCACTCACCACTTCAGTGTGTATGGCTCGGGAAGCCATGCAGCAGAAGACTATTCCCCATACTCTGAGTATAGTTCTCTTCTTGACCTCATCTTTCACTTCATAAGGGCCGAACAGGTCCATGGTGGTGAATTCAAAAGGTGCAGCTGGGCCTGTTGGCTCTAGAGGCAGGTCAGCCATGATTTGTTGACACTGTTTTGCCTTGTTTTTCCTGCAGAACACACAGCTGTCAATCATTTTCTTGGCAAGTCTACGGCCTTTTATTACCCAGGCTTTCTTCCTCATCCGGAGAAGGGCTCCTGCCTTCCTTTGCTTTGTGGGATTTTTGTGCCAGCAATGTAGACACCCATGCTTCAAATGGTAAAACTTGCACTGCTGTCTTATCTTCGTTGAACGTCTGAATTCTGCCTCCACAAACTAGCAGTCCAGAGTTCACATCTTTGTATACTGCCAGTCTTCTTAGAGTTGTGTCTGAAAAAGCTGTACCTTCTTGAGCTGCGAGGAAGAGGTCTTTGAGTGCATCTTCATGTTCTTTGACAGTCAGCACAGCTTGCTTGGGTGATGTTACCTCCCACTTTGACAGTTTAGGCACTTCCTCTTCAGCCACTGCTTGGCAGCTCGAGAAACCCAGGCAATGACTCACCAGTTTGGACAGGCTACTGAATCTTCTTACTTCCACAAGATATTTAACCCAGCCAGTGGGCTTCCTTCTTAGAAGAAGAGTTGGGTTTCCACAGGTTTTTCCTCTTGAGTTTCACTCTTTGGACTTTCCTGAGTGGCTTGCAGGTCTTCTTTCCTCTGACTCCTTCTTGCTTGAGCTCTTGTTATTGCACCTGAGAATGCCTTCCTCTGGAGCTTGTTTACACTCTCCCTGGCATGAGCTGCAACCTCTCCAGCTGATTTTATAGGCCACTCCTCCACTGGCCACTTCAGGAACTCTGGTCCATTTTGCCAAGTGGAATTCTCCTTCAAATCTTCAGGAGCGCCCCCTCTTGTTATGATGTCAGCTATGTTCAGATCTCCACGGATCCACCACCAGTCTTGCACTGGTCCAGCCTTCTGGATTCCACCCACTCTATTTGCAAAGAAGGTTTTATACCCATAACTGTCTCTTTGAATGGCTCCCAAGACCGTTTGACTGTCAAGTAGATGGAACCATCTCACGATCTTCATTCAAGCATGCTTTTCCACATACTTCCTGATCCTGGCTGCGAAGACAGCACCACAGATCTCAGCTTTTACAGCTTCTCCCTTCTGATCCAGGGGTGTCAGCTTGGCTTTTAATTCAACGAATCGAATTTCAGTGCCTTGACTTGTCTCCCATCTTAAGTACATCACAGCTCCATAGGTTTTGTCACTTCCATCAGAGAATGTGATGCCCCAAGGTTTCCCTTTCCAGCCAGCTGGTGTGAGGCTCCTGTGGAATTTCACCTGTCCAAGCTGCACATATTCTTCAAAAAGCTGTATGGCTTCTTCTCAGAGGCGTTCTGAGAGAGGTTGGTCCCAGGTTTCTTGGGTTAGTTTCCCGCCCCCTCCCTCCTGGAATGCTTTTCTAACAAGAATTGCTCCCTTCTGTTTGGCAGGTGTAACTAAGCCTCAGCCTCAGCTGTCCTCTGACCTGGTCTGTGGTGATGTGAGGCGGGGATTGTGTTGAAGTGGGGCAGGAGGAGGGTGGTGTTGTGGTGTCAGGGGGGAGGTGTGTAGAGGGAAGAAGGAGAGATGGCTGCAATGAGGAGGAGGGGGGTGTTGTGGTGTCAGGGGGGAGGTGTGTAGAGGGAAGGAGGAGAGATGGCTGCGGTGAGGGTGGGGGGGACAAGGGCTTGTTAAACCTGTAGAAGTCATTCAGCTTGTTCGCCCTTTCCATTGTCCCCCCTGTAGCTCTGGTCTTTGTGTTGTGACCTGTGATGGTCCTCACACCTTCCCAGACCTCCCTCATGTTGTTCTCCCTCAGCTTCTGCTCCACCTTTATCCTTTAAGGCCAGGACACACCAACCCGATGGCCGACCGTCGGCAGAAAAGCAGTCGGACTGATCAGTCAGCTCCCGTGTCCCCGAATCGGTCAAAAAAGCGGCGCCGACTGGAGCATACATTCTGTGCGTGCGCGAGGCGTAATATGTCCCCATAACAGCAGGCGGCGCTAATCTGTGTTGTCGCCCAAAAAAAAAGAAAACCGGAAATGATGATCACTCTAGACCTAGTAAACACAGAGCATGCTGTCGTCAGTCATTGTTAGTCATAGAGTGTTGATAGTAGTCAAGAAGGATCATTATTGTCATTACTTGCTGAACGAAAAATACGATGGCTAATAATGACAAGATACTGGCGTTGGCATAGTATGTTTACCATCGTCACTTCTGGTTTTCTTGTGCACTCACTGATTCACTAGTCAAGGGCTAGCACTCCACCAGTCAGATTGGTCATTGAGGCCGACAGCCACTGGCCGATTCTACATGTGGAATCAGCCAAAATGAACGCCAACTCTGACTGACGACGGCACGGGACACACCGAACCGACTCAAGTCACTGACCTCGCCCGACTGTCCGACGATATCCGACAGCCGGGATTCGGGTTGCTGTGCTGCCTTCATGGCCTCCCTGTCCCTGCTCCTGAAGGCAGCCTTCTTCTTGTTGAGGACAGCCTTGACTTCCCGCATTACCCATGGCTTGTTATTAGGGTAGCAGCGGACAGTTTTGACAGGGGAGACCACGTCAGCGCAGAAGTTCAGGTACTCCGTCAGACAGTGTGTCATCCCCTCTATGTCCTCATCATGCGGGTTGATGAGCACATCCCATTGTCACCGGCTTTTTTTGGACCAGGGTGTACAGTAGCTGTAGGTGAACCAGGTTGGGATCAGACTTCCCCAGTGGGGGGAGGGGAGTCACTCTGTATGCATCCCTCACATTAGCATACAGGAGATCAATTGTCCTGTTGTTTCTAGTAGGACAGTCTACAACCTCGTGAAAAACAGCCAAAGTAGAATCCAAAGTTGCATGATTAAAGTCCCCAGAGATGATCATAAATGCCTCAGGGTGCTGTGTCTGCAACATTGCTGTGACTTCAGGCCTCCAGAGTTGATGAGGTTCGTAGTAGAATCTATTTTTGTGAAAAGTTTTGGTGAAAAGTTTAATGAGATCCTTCGAGGGTGAAGCAATCCAATAAAAACTTTCCACAGACTCAAACAACAAATTTTCTGAATTTTTAAGGTGCATTTCAAGGTCAGGTAGCTTTGAATGAGTTGTCAATGTTGTTGGGGTAATCATTATAATAAGACTTTTTTTCATTCTTTTTTAATTATTATTCAAATAATCTGTTTGTGTAATCTGTTTCATTATTTTACATTTATTTTAGACAACAATAATGGATTACACGTTAAATGTAACATATATAACTCTTAGTGGACATGTAGAAGTGCATAAATACAGATATCTTTATTTTTTGGTTTTGTTTACAGTATACATTTTAATAATCTGCAGTAATTCTACAGTTCTGTACCTTATCTGTATCCACAAAAACCTCCACGAGCCTATGTACATTTTCATTGCAGCTTTGCTACTGAACTGTGTTTTTTACAGCACTTCTATTTACCCAAAGCTTCTGATAGATGTTTTATCTGAAAAACAGATCATATCATATCCAGTCTGTCTCTTTCAATTTTTCATGTTTTACTCCATTGGTAGTTCAGAGTTCCCACTGTTGGCAGCAATGTCCTATGACAGGTATGTGTCTATATGTAAACCTCTGCAATATCCAACTATCATGACAAAAACTACAGTGAGTATTTTCCTGGTTTTATCTTGGCTTGTGCCTGCTTGTCATATTGCAATCCCAGCAATACTGAGTGCTGAAACTAAACTGTGTAACTTTACTTTAAAAGCAATATTTTGTAACAATGCAATTTACAGACTCCAGTGTGTACAATCAAGAGTAATTACTATACAGGGTGTGGTTGCTTTATTAAATCTTGCAATTTTTCCTATGCTCTTCATAATTTTTACATACACAAGGATACTTATGATATCCTATCGAAGTTGTAGAGAAGTCAGGAAAAAAGCAGCAGAGACCTGTTTACCCCATTTGTTAGTTTTAATCAGTTTCTCCTGTTTGAGTGCATATGATATCGCTATAGCTCGGGTGGAATCAAATCTTCCAAAAACGGCACGATTAATAATGATGTTACAAATAGTTTTGTATCATCCTTTGTTTAACCCACTTATATATGGCCTCAAAATGAAAGAAATTTCTAAACACCTCAAAAGGTTGTTCCGTCCAGCCAAAATCATTTGATGTAAAAACAGTGATTTATAAGGTAAAGTCATTTCTTCTGAAATAATCATGCAGACAGGTGAATTCTTGGAGTATTAATGCACGCATCTTTTTCCATTACAGACTCTCCACAGGTCCAGTGTATAACATTTAGGAGGAATTATTGTCAGAAATATAATATTATATGAATATATAATATTTATAGGTATGTTTTCATTAGTGTATAATTAACTGAAAATACAAATTTTCCTTGCCTTAGACAGAGCTGTTTTTATCTACACAGGGAAGGCCATGTTGAACCGCAATGTGACTACAGTAGCTCGTAATGGATAAACCAAACACTGGCTCTGGACAGGGCCTTTCACCTTTTTTGCGAGCCACTGTAGTTTCTCCGACAGAAGTGGTACTGAGTTAGTTGTAATCTGTTGTAACTTCATTGCTAGATAACCCTACATCCTACACACTGGTCCCTCAACAGTAAAGAGACTCTTGTTGCTCTGTTTGTAATGGAAACAGCAAAAAGTGTGCTGAGCTTGAACAATATAAAGGCTAATTAATTTGGTGTAATTATTCATAATTTTATTTGCTGTCATGAATTTAGTTATCAAAATTAGACACTGGTTACAAGTATTGACATTGATCATTGGCTCTGAATGTCTTGCTAAAATTAAATGTTGGATTTCAGCTATATAAACTATTAAAGCCCATGCCTAACGTGTAAAGACAACACTGACAGTGTGTACAGTACAGTACTGTATTCTAATAATGCTTATTATTCATTTAATTTTTTTTAACAATGATATTTGCTGCTCTCTGTTTTTGGTCTTCCACGGCTGCACAAGCTGACTCAGGAGAAAATCATTATTTGTCACGTCAAGCTGTGACTTTAGATTTGGTGTGCTGGAACAAACAGGGAAAGTGTGTGTGTGTGTGTGTGCGTGTGTGTGCGTGTGTGTGTGTGTGTGTGTGTGTGTGTGTGTGTGCGCGGTGGTTGGTGCGCTGGCATCTGCCTTGATTTTCAAGTTAGAAGTGGCCTTTTGATAAAGCTGAAATGGCATGTATGTTTGCAACAAAACATTCTTTACATTTATGAGAAAAATAAAATCTAAATAAACCTTAAACGCTGAAAAAGTATTATTTTCCTGAAGAAAACAATGTATAGACTCAAAATAGAAGTGTGCTGTAGTGTCTGTGATGTTGGAACCCTGTAAAAACATAGTGACCAGGTTTCATTGCTGTCAACATCTTTCTATTTTGCTCTCTGTCTGTATCATGGACGAAGAAAGAGCCGCAAGTCTGTGTGTCTGTTCAATCCATTCTCACTATCAATTTGTAAAACACTGGAGGCTAAAACACACTGCAGCTGAATGGCAAGTTTCAAAACTGCCCATAACCCCCACACCGGCAGCTACTAGACATGTGTGGGCACCTGTGGTTTTTTTAATAATTTTTTTTTTCCATTGCAAGACAAAATACACAGGGAAATACAGGGAAAACAAAACAATAAATGGACAGGACAATTAATAAGAAAAAATAAGTGCAAAGTGACATTTGTTTTCAATGTTGTGTTTAAGTGGTGTGTGTGTGCATGCACGCATAAGGTGGACAACATCCCCAAAGCAGTTATTAATAAAACAATCACCACCACTGATAACAATAAGAATCGATAATAATATAAGGGAGGGTCTGCCACAGCCACTAGCAGCGATGCAGGGTTGGGCTGAACTGGGTCAGGTATGCTATGTTAACAATATTAGAATTACCTTTTTGAGATTATCACTAACATCTAGGTACATATACAGGTATATCAGGCAGAAAGTGAACATTTTGTCCTCAAAGTTGATCCATCACAATGTGGCCCTTGTCAGAGCATCTCCAAACCTGCAGCTCTTATGGGGTGTTCCCGGTCTGCAGAGGTCAGTATCTATCAAAAGTGGTCCAAGGAAGGAACAGAACCAGAGACAGGGTCATGGGGTCCATGAGGGAGACTGGTGAGGGAGGCCACCAAGACACCTACGACCACTCTGAAGGAGTTAAAAGCTTCAGTGGCTCAGATGGGAGAGACTGTACATACAACTGTTGCCTGGGTTCTTCACCAGTCGAAGCTGTATAGGAGAGTGGCAAAGAGAAAGCCACTGTTGAAAAAAGCTCATATGAAATCTCGCCTGGAATTCGCCCAAAGGCATGTGCTAGACTCCAAGGTCAATTGGAAGAAGGTTCTTTGGTCTGATGAGACAAAAATTTAGCATTTTGGCCATCAGACTAGATGCTGTGTATGGCGAACACCAAACACTGCACATCACCACAAACACACCATCTCCACCGTGAAGCATGGTGGTGGCAGCAGCAGCAGCATCATGCTCTGGGGCCCTGGAAGGCTTGTAAAGGTAGAGGGGAACATGAATGCAGAAAATTATCGCCAAATCCTGGAGGATAATCTGACTCAGTCTGCAAGAGAACTACAACTTGGGGGAAGATTTATTTTCCAGCAAGACAACGACCCCAAGCATACAGCAAAAGCTACACAGAAATGGTTCAAAGACAACAAGGTGAATGTTCTGGGGTGGCCAAGTCAAAGCCCAGATCTCAATCCAATCGAGAATTTGTGGCTGGACTTGAAAAGAGCTGTTCACGCCCGATCCGAGCAACCTGACAGAGCTTGAGCTGTTTTGCAAGGAAGAATGGAGAAAAATAGCAGTGTCCAGATGTGCCAGCCTGATTGAAACATATCCACACAGACTCAGTGCTGTAATTGCAGCCAAAGGTGCATCTACTAAATACTGACCTGAAGGGGGTGAATATTTATGCAATCATCTTCTTTACCTTTATATTTTTTTAATTAATTGACATTAGTTTGTAAAAATCTGTCTTCCCTTTGCTATTAAAGAGGTATTTCCTTTTTCAAATTCTTGTTAAAAAAGCCAAATTATATTGACCATGATTTCATGTATAAAAGAAACAAAAGCATGAAACATCCAAGGGGGTGAATACTTTTTATAGGCATTGTACCTAGCAGAGTTTCTTGAAGAGTGCTCTATAAATTAAATGTATTATTATTATTATTATTATTATTATTATTATTTTATTATTATGATTATAGTTGGAAAGATTGTGTAAACATTGCTGTGACTTCAGGCCTCCAGAGTTGATGAGGTTCTTTACGGATTAGAATCTATTTTGGTGAAAAGTTTAATGAGATCCTTGGAGGGTGAAGCAATCCAATAAAAACTTTCCACAGACTCAAACAGTTCATTTTCTGAATTTTCAAGGTCAGGTACCTTTGAATGAGTTGTCAGTGTTGTTGGGGTAATCATTACAATAATACTTTTTAAAATTATTTTTGAATTATTATTCAAATAATCTGTTTGTGTAATCTGTTTTATTATTTTACATTTATTTTAGACAACATTAATGGATTACACGTTAAATGTGACATATATAACTCTTAGTGGGCTTGTAGAAGTGCACAAATACAGATATCTTTATTTTTTGGTTTTGTTCACAGTATACATTTTAATAATTTGCAGTAATTCTACAGTTGTGTACCTTATCTATATCCACAAAAACCTCCACGAGCCTATGTACATTTTCATTGCAGCTTTGCTAGTGAACTGTGTTTTTTACAGCACTTCTATTTACCCAAAGCTTCTGATAGATGTTTTATCTGAAAAACAGATCATATCATATCCAGCCTGTCTCTGTCAATTTTTCATGTTTTACTCCATTGGCAGTTCAGAGTTCTTACTGTTGGCAGCCATGTCCTATGACAGGTATGTGTCTATATGTAAACCTCTGCAATATCCAACTATCATGACAAAAACCACAGTGAGTATTTTCCTGGTTTTATCTTGGCTTGTGCCTGCTTGTCATATTGCAATCCCAGCAATACTGAGTGCTGAAACTAAACTGTGTAACTTTACTTTAAAAGCAATATTTTGTAACAATGCAATTTATAGACTCCAGTGTGTACAATCAAGAGTAATTACTATACAGGGTGTGGTTGCTTTATTAAATCTTACAATTTTCCCCATGCTCTTCATCATTTTTACATACACAAGGATACTTATAATATGCTATCGAAGTTGTAGAGAAGTCAGGAAAAAAGCAGCAGAGACCTGTTTACCCCATTTGTTAGTTTTAATCAGTTTCTCCTGTTTGAGTGCATATGATATCGCTATAGCTCGGGTGGAATCAAATCTTCCAAAAACGGCACGATTAATAATGATGTTACAAATAGTTTTGTATCATCCTAACCCACTTATATATGGCCTCAAAATGAAAGAAATTTCTAAACACCTCAAAAGGTTGTTCCGTCCAGCCAAAATCATTTGATGTAAAAACAGTGATTTATAAGGTACAGTCATTTCTTCTGAAATAATCATGCAGACAGGTGAATTCTTGGAGTATTTAATGCACGCACTTTTTTCCATTACAGACTCTCCACAGGTCCAGTGTATAACATTTAGGAGGAACTATTGTCAGAAATAGAATATAATATGAATATATAATATTTATAGGTATGTTTTCATTAGTGTATAATTAACTGAAAATACAAATTTTCCTTGCCTTAGACAGAGCTGTTTTTATCTACACAGGGAAGGCCATGTTGAACCGCAATGTGACTACAGTAGCTCGTAAAGGATAAACCAAACACTGGCTCTGGACAGGGCCTTTCACCTTTTTTGCGAGCCACTGTAGTTTCTCCGACAGAAGTGGTACTGAGTTAGTTGTAATCTGTTGTAACTTCATTGCTAGATAACCCTACATCCTACACACTGGTCCCTCAACAGTAAAGAGACTCTTGTTGCTCTGTTTGTAATGGAAACAGCAAAAAGTGTGCTGAGCTTGAACAATATAAAGGCTAATTAATTTGGTGTAATTATTCATAATTTTATTTGCTGCCATGAATTTAGTTATCAAAATTAGACACTGGTTACAAGTATTGACATTGATCATTGGCTCTGAATGTCTTGCTAAAATTAAATGTTGGATTTCAGCTATATAAACTATTAAAGCCCATGCCTAACGTGTAAAGACAACACTGACAGTGTGTACAGTACAGTACTGTATTCTAATAATGCTTATTATTCATTTAATTTTTTTTAACAATGATATTTGCTGCTCTCTGTTTTTGGTCTTCCACGGCTGCACAAGCTGACTCAGGAGAAAATCATTATTTGTCACGTCAAGCTGTGACTTTAGATTTGGTGTGCTGGAACAAACAGGGAAAGCAAGTGTGTGTGTGTGCGTGTGTGTGCGTGTGTGTGTGTGTGTGTGTGTGTGTGTGTGTGTGCGCGGTGGTTGGTGCGCTGGCATCTGCCTTGATTTTCAAGTTAGAAGTGGCCTTTTGATAAAGCTGAAATGGCATGTATGTTTGCAACAAAACATTCTTTACATTTATGAGAAAAATAAAATCTAAATAAACCTTAAACGCTGAAAAAGTATTATTTTCCTGAAGAAAACAATGTATAGACTCAAAATAGAAGTGTGCTGTAGTGTCTGTGATGTTGGAACCCTGTAAAAACATAGTGACCAGGTTTCATTGCTGTCAACATCTTTCTATTTTGCTCTCTGTCTGTATCATGGACGAAGAAAGAGCCGCAAGTCTGTGTGTCTGTTCAATCCATTCTCACTATCAATTTGTAAAACACTGGAGGCTAAAACACACTGCAGCTGAATGGCAAGTTTCAAAACTGCCCATAACCCCCCACACCGGCAGCTACTAGACATGTGTGGGCACCTGTGGTTTTTTTAATAATTTTTTTTTTTCCATTGCAAGACAAAATACACAGGGAAATACAGGGAAAACAAAACAATAAATGGACAGGACAATTAATAAGAAAAAATAAGTGCAAAGTGACATTTGTTTTCAATGTTGTGTTTAAGTGGTGTGTGTGTGCATGCACGCATAAGGTGGACAACATCCCCAAAGCAGTTATTAATAAAACAATCACCACCACTGATAACAATAAGAATCGATAATAATATAAGGGAGGGTCTGCCACAGCCACTAGCAGCGATGCAGGGTTGGGCTGAACTGGGTCAGGTATGCTATGTTAACAATATTAGAATTACCTTTTTGAGATTATCACTAACATCTAGGTACATATACAGGTATATCAGGCAGAAAGTGAACATTTTGTCCTCAAAGTTGATCCATCACAATGTGGCCCTTGTCAGAGCATCTCCAAACCTGCAGCTCTTATGGGGTGTTCCCGGTCTGCAGAGGTCAGTATCTATCAAAAGTGGTCCAAGGAAGGAACAGAACCAGAGACAGGGTCATGGGGTCCATGAGGGAGACTGGTGAGGGAGGCCACCAAGACACCTACGACCACTCTGAAGGAGTTAAAAGCTTCAGTGGCTCAGATGGGAGAGACTGTACATACAACTGTTGCCCTGATAGATATAACTGTGTGGAGAGACAGGTTATTGGCCGGTAGTTGGATGGGATGGGTCCCTATCTTAGGGTCCTTCAGGATTAGGACTGTCCTGCCCTGGGTTAGCCACTCTGGGTGGGACCCATCCCTTATCAGGTGGTTCATCTGTGCTGCTAGGCGTTCATTGGGGTGCTGTTAGCTTCTTCAGCCAGTAGGCATGGATCATATCGGGGCCTGGTGCTGTCCAGCTCTTCATCTTTGACACTCTTTCTTGGATGTCTGCCATTGAGATGGTTACTGGTTCTTGTTCTGGGAGGTTGCTGTGGTCTGCTCTTAGGCCCACTAGCCATTGGGCATCTGGGTTGTGTGATGCCTCTTTTTCCCATATGGCCTTCCAGTATTCTTCCACCTCAGCTCTTGGTGGGTCTGGCCTGTTGTTATTTCCTCCCTGCCACTGAGAGTACACCTTGGCTGGTTCAGTGGAGAAAAACTTGTTTATTCTACTGGCCTCTGCCTCCTTGGTGTATCTCTTCAACCGGGTGGCCAGTGCTGTTAGTCTTTGTTTGGCAGTTTCGAGTGCTTCAGGTATGGAGAGCTTGGTGTATTTGCTGGGTGCCCCTTTAGTAACTGCTTGACTATCCAGCTGATTATTTATATATATATATATATATCTCTTATGCCACTGGAGCACGAGAGAGAGCATCTGCTACTATGTTATCTCTCCCCTTAATGTGTCTAACAACTAAGATGTAAGACTGAAGAAATAGCATCCACTGCATTAACCTACGATTTGGACACTGTAGCAAACAAAGAAAGGTCAAAGGGTTATGGTCCGTATACACCACCAATGACCCATTTCCAGAACCGACAAACTTTGAAATGTTGAAGGGCTCAGATGAGAGCCAGCGCTTCCTTCTCTATTGTGGAATAGTTAAGCTGATACGAATTAAACTTAAAAGTACTAACAGACAGGTCTATCAACCCCTTCCCTCTCCTGCAACAAAACGGCACCTGCTCCAACAAGACTTTCATCAACTTCTTTATTTTCTTAATTTAATTCAGTTCAATTTTATTTGTATAGCGCCAATTCATAACAGAAGTTATCTCAGGACACTTTTCAAATAGAGCAGGTCTTGACCGAACTCTTTAAAACATTAATTACAGAGACCCAACAGTACCACCATGAGCAAGCACTTGGAGACAAGGGCAAGGAAAAACTGCCTGTTAAAAGGCAGAAACCTAGGACAGATCCTCCGGCTCTAGGTGGGTGGTCGTCTGTCTCGACCAGTTGGGGTGAGAGAGAGAGAGAGGGAGAGAGAGAGAGAGAGCGAGAGACAGACAGACGCACAGCAACAACAGTATTGGCAATGGCAGTCAAGCAGGACCATGGCAGGAGGCTCCACCAGGATCCATGAGAACCTGCGAGACGAGAAAGCACAAGAACTCCGGGGAAGAAGTGAAGTTAGTAACATGCATTAATGGAACATGAATGAGTGCAGAAAGAGAGAGGAAGGGAGGAGCTCAGTGCACCATGGGAAATCCCGATAGTCTAGGCCTATAGCAGCATAACTAAGGGATGGTTCAGGACTCACCTGATCCAGCCCTAACTATAAGCTTTATCAAAGAGGAATGTCTTAAGCCTACTCTTGAATGTGGTGAGGGTGTCTGCCTCCAGAACCACAACTGGAAGCTGGTTCCACAGGAGAGGAGCTTGGTAACTGAAGGCTCTGGCTCCTGTTCTACTTTTAGAGACTATAGGAACCACAAGTAGCCCAGCATTCAGAGAACGTAGTGTTCTAGAGGGGTAATAGGGTACTATGAGCTCTTTAAGATATGAAGGGGCCTGACCATGAAGAGCTTTATAGGTGGGGAGGAGGATTTTAAATTCAATTCTACATTTTACAGGGAGCCAATGCAGAGAAGCTAGTATAGGAGAGATGTGATCTCTTTTTCTAGTTCCTGTCAGTACTCGTGCTGCAGCGTTCTGAATTAATTGGAGCGTTTTAATGGACTTATTGGGGCAACCTGATAATAAAGAGTTGCAGTAATCCAGCCTTGAAGTAACAAATGCATGGATTAGTTTTTCTGCATCTGTCTGTGATAGGATGTGTCTAATTTTTCTAATATTACGTAAATGAAAGAAGGCGGTCCTAGAGGTCTGCTTTATGTGGGAGTTAAATGACAAATCCTGATCAAAGATAACTCCAAGATTCCTGACAGTGGTGCTAGAGGCCAAGGTAATGTCATCTAGAGTGACTATATCTTTAGACAATGAGTCTAAGGTTTTTGGGGCCAAGAACAAGAATTTCGAGTTTAACATCAGAAAATTACAGGTCATCCAGGATTTTATGTCCGTAAGACATGTTTGTAATTTAGATAATTGATTAATTTCATTGGGTTTGATTGATAGATATAACTGCGTATCATCTGCATAACAGTGAAAGTTAATGGAGTGATTCCTAATAATGTTGCCTAAAGGGAGCATATATAAAGTAAATAGTATTGGTCCAAGTACAGAACCTTGTGGAACTCCATGACTAACTTTAGTATTTATGGAGGATTCATCGTTAACATGTACAAACTGAGAGCGATCTGATAAATATGACTTAAACCAGCTTAGGGCGGTTCCTTTAATGCCAATTTGATGCTCAAGTCTCTGTAAAAGAATATCATGGTCAATGGTGTCAAATGCAGCACTAAGATCTCATAATACAAGTACAGAGACAAGTCCATTGTCAGAAGCAGTCAGAAGGTCATTATTAACTTTAACCAGAGCTGTCTCTGTGGTATGATGAACTCTAAATCCTGACTGAAAATCCTCAAATAAACTATTGTTATGTAAAAAGTCACACAACTCTTTGGCGACTACTTTCTCCAGAATCTTAGAGAGGAAGGGGAGGTTAGAAATCGGTCTATAGTTGGCTAAAACCCCTGGGTCAAGAGTGGACTTTTTAAGAAGGGGTTTAATTACAGCTACTTTAAAGGACTGTGGTACATATCCTGATAATAAAGAAAGATTAATCATATCCAGTAAAGAAGTGCCAATTAAGGGAACAACTTCTTTAAGCAGCCTAGTTGGGATCGGGTCTAATAGACAGGTTGATGGCTTCGATGAAGAAATGATTGAAGTTAACTGATGAAGATCGAAAGCAGAAAAACAGTCTAAATATATATCTAAGTTTACATTGACAGACGTCCCTGAACTTGGAGAGCCACTGATAACTGTTGATGGCAGTTGGTGATTAATTTTTTCTCTAATAGTAATAATTTTATTATAGAAGAAGCTCATGAAGTCATTGCTACTTAAGTTTATGGGGATATGTGGCTCAATAGAGCTGTGGCTCTCTGTCAGCTTGGCTACAGTGCTGAAGAGGAACCTAGGGTTATTCTTATTTTCTTCTATTAGTGCTGAGTAATAGGCTCCTCTGGCATTACGGAGGGCCTTTCTATAGGTTTTAAGATTATCTTGCCAAATTGAGTGATATTCTGATAATTTGGAAGAGCGCCATTTCCTTTCAGATTTCCTAGCTATTTGTTTTAACTGGCGGGTTTGGTGGTTGTACCAAGGTGCAAGTCTCCTATGTTTTAATAATTTCCTTTTTATAGGAGCGATAGAGTCTAATGTTGATCGTAGTGAGCCTGTAGCACTATCGACATTATTATCAATTTCAGAGGGACTAAAGTCATTATAGGACTCTGTTATATTCAGACATGGCATTGAATTAAACACTGAAGGAATCTCCTCCTTAAATTTAGCTACAGCACTGTCAGATAGACATCTGCTGTAGGAAGTTTTGCCTAATGGCTTATAATCTAATAGTATGAATTCAAAAGTTATTAAATAATGGTCAGATAGGAATGGATTATGTGGGAAGACTATTAAATGTTCAATATCAATGCCATATGATAAAACAAGGTCAAGAGTGTGATTAAAACAATGAGTTGGTTTATTTACACTCTGACAGAAGCCAATTGAGTCTATTAATGATATAAATGCATTACTAAGGCTGTCATTGTTAACATCCACATGAATATTAAAATCACCTACAATAAT